CACATTTTACACTGTAACCCAGGACACTCCATTTGAGATGGAGATACAATAACATTTTGAACTGAACTAGTGGGGCAGAACATATTTAAGTGTGAACTTGAGAACTTCAGCACTGTAATGATGTAAGATTTCTTCTGTGTATACAGCACATTATTGTGTGGAGCACCTTGTGCCCCACACATGAAAAAAAAAAAAAATTAATGCTGTTTGAACTGTTTTAGCAGAGCTAAACACTACTTAGGTCGAATAATTTCAGCCTGAAGTAAATTCTAACAGAGGCTTTGGTTTTTCAAGCTGCTGAGACAGTGAAGTTAAAGGTGCTTGGTATCTCACACAGGTAAACTTAGAAATGTCAGAAGACAGGAGACAGAAGATAGGCTGAATTACACCAGAAAGTATTTGCTACATATATTGGGCTACTATCCTATGCAAAGAGAATTTATGTTAAAAAAAAAAAAATAAATAAAATCCAGTAGAGATTAAGCCAGCTAGAAAAGTTAGGTTGAATGTTTACCTTGAAACCTCAGGCAGATAAAGCATGAGCTCACAGGAAAGTGGTTAGTTTGAGGTGGTCGGCACTTCCATTCCTGCACCTTTAGGCTGAGCTGTCGCTCCACATGTAGCTGAGCCTGAGCTCCCTGCGAGGAGGATTGTGTCACTGGCATGATGAGGTCCTCTCAGTCTGCAGCACGGTTCTTCTCAGAGCTCCCAGCTCTCCGTTTTGCAGAAGGCGAGCGAAAGCATAGAGAGATTAATGCAGCTTGTGCAAGGTTGTTCTGGAAGTCTGTGGTAGAGATAGGATGTGCCAGGTTTCATGCTACTTTTCTGACTGTGACTGGCCTTTCCCCCAGTCCTGACCAGGAATGTTCATTTATGTTCAAAGAAATATCTGGCAGCAGCTATACCTGCTCAGCTAACCTTACCAGCTGCTGTTGTTGCTTTTTCAAATCAACGTAAAGCATTTTCAGATCCCTGCAGTGTGCTTCCATGGTTTCTTAGCTGTGCTAAGAGAATCCTCATGGTGTGCTTCCGGTGTTTATTAGCTGTGCTGTGAAACCTTGACAACCCATATCTCTTCCCTGCAGTGCCGTCCTGCCAGTGAGCGCGTATATGTCTCCTTCCAAGGCACATATAGACATGTGCTTCTGTTCTCTTTGCACATCTTTTTCATTCCTTCACATTATTTATTCATGCCAGTTTGTCATCAAGTATTATATTTCTGCCTATTCATTATTTAGTGGACAATAAAGAAATGGTATAACCCAGAACAGCACAACATGAGGAAAAAGTACACCAGGGAGTTGGTGGACTGAGTTGTCACATATAGCAAACTCAAGGAGGTATTCCAGTTTAGTTTCTGCCCTGTCAGATGTTCTTGCTTACTGGGGGGCTGATTCTTCAAGCACTGGTGTGCCACAGGTACAGTCAGTTTCTGTAATGAGGACTTGCAGCCTCAGATCCTTGGAGAGCAAGGTTTTCTTTAGCTAACTGAAGAGGTGCCCCAGGCCTCTCTTCAGCCTCTGCAGATGCAGTTTCAGGTGACAGTTCTGTCGAGACACTGAATGACACTTGACTGCAGGCCTGTAGTTAGCACTACTGATGTGAATGAACCTGTTCACAGGTTTAAAATTAAGCACCATGTACAGTCATTAACAGGATCAGGACCTGAACTGATAGCTCTGTGTGTGTCTGTGTGCGCGTGTTGTGCGCACTGTCCCTCCGCGCCAAGGTAAGCATTTCTGCTTCCACCACTGTTTTCCTTCAGCTGAATAACAAGGCTGAAAAATCCTGGAAGTGTATGTGAATGCTAAAAGCTAGAGTAAGTTGTTAATAATTTAGAGAAGTATTTTACCTCCAATTGACTTGCACCATTAAAACATTGTATGCTGTTTACCACAACTTTAAAATGTTTATTTTTCATTCTTCTCCTATGTCTTATCTCCTGATGAATTGGGAAGGTGGACAAGATGGCCAGTCTCTACAACATACATGTCCGCACAGGTTGCTTCTGTAACACAGGAGCCTGCCAGATGCATTTGGGTATAAGCAATGAGGACATCCAAAGGAACCTGCAGGTTAGTTTCTGAATGAGATTACATGATATGTTGCCCATGGAAAATATCTAGATTCAGTGACTTAAGAGACATCTGGCTATCAGTTCTGAATTTCCTAAGGATGGGAGGTTTGAAAGGGAGAAGAAAATCTGTCTCTGTATCAAGAAAACCTTTAAATAGTTAAAAGCTAAAGTACATGTACCATATCCTGTGGGTTTGAGTCTTTGTAACTTTAAGAATGAAGGTGAATTTGCTTTCTCTGACCTTTCAACTCAATTGCAGTGTTAAAGAACTACATGAACTGAAATTCAATTCAGTGAAACGGGGTGTTGAAACTAAATCATTTGATGAACCCAAAGCAGTATGTGTTGCTTGTTTTTATTTCATTGGAAAATACAAAATAGTGACTTCTTGTTCTGATTTGGAATTACATGAAATACAGTCTTCCTGCAGAACAGAAGTTCCTGGACAATTCATCTCATGTTGTTCCTTAAGTATCCTTAATTGTACTTAATAATGTTCAAGTATTATAGACTCATTGCTATTGGATGTAACACTTTAAAAGTCATACACAAAGTGGACAAGAAACAATAAATGAGAATACACAGTGAATCTCAGAGAGTGAAGTAAATTTAGGTGACATCTACGTGGATTACTGGTGTGTTAAATTGTTAGAACGTGAATGTAAAAACTGTTTCTAGATGACTAATATTTTCCATAAATTGTCATTAAAAGATGTGTAGCAGGATGTATTACAATGAAGTGGAGGAGGCTTCATGTCTGCATATTTGTCAGATTTTGAAATTACAGTAAATTAATACAGAACAATCGAAAATTTCATTAATGGTATTCTTCAAAAGATAAAAAAATATAACGGCTGTGTTGATATTATAGCTCCCTTATAATTTCACAGAGCTGTTTAGACAGCTTTTGCAAACACATTATATGCAAGATTGATAGCACAAGTTCTTAAAGGGAGAGAATAATACCTTCCTTGGCAAAATGGTGCTTTGATTTACCATTAAAAGCTCCATGTCCATAGTCTCCTCACGCATAGTATGTCTAAGAGCAGGTGAGTGATGACTGAATTTTTGAGGGGAAGCAGGTTCCCCAAGATACTCTGAGAAAAGAAAAAAAAGGTCTACCCTTCTGCTGAAGTGAGAATGCCAAATGACCAGCTGCAATGCTCTTGGATCTCTTTATATAAGGAGGATTTTGCTAAGGAGTGGGTGGCCTCTTATAGGTCTGTATCATGTTAATAAAGCTGAACATTTAATGGGGACAGGCCAACCCCAAACTTATAAAGAGACACCTAATCTGCCAAAAGTGGTACGATGAGGTGGTGGAGTCAAGCAGTCTTTATTTTGGGACATTCTCATCAGTCCTTTGAGAAGGATCTGGATGAGTTATTGGCAACATTACTGCGTAGGGGAAGGCATATTTTATCGCATTGTTTACACATATGCTTCAGTTTCACCTTTTCCCGGGGTGCTGACTGTATTCTTCCTTCCCTGATGAAGATTTCCATGTGTAAAATGCCTGTGAGGGAGGACTTTGTGTCCTCAAGGGTCCCTGGAGAAGTGTGGTTAGTTTTCTTAGGATGTTAAGTTGGAACTCATTTACTTATTTACACAGCAGGAACGTCTCTCCTCAGTCAATCAATCAATACTTGGCAGAAGGGTTGCATGTATATTAACAGATGCAACCTAATTTTGCAAATGTTGCTTCTGCTCTATGGTCAAGGATAAAAACTACATCACACTGAATTAAAATACTTACTACTGTATTTCATGCTTTGAAATAAAGGTGTGGGGTTTTTTTTATTTCTCCTTGCATAAATGTGTTCATTGAACTGTGACATTTCTTGCTTCAAAAAGCTCTCATGTAAATAACCTATTCATACTTCCATTTTTATGTAACAGAAATGCATAAATAAATGAAATTATAAAAACAAAACAAAACACCACTGCTGCACTTACAGGAATAAAAATGCTGACTTAGGGCTGCATCTTCTTGTCCATTGGTGAGATAATGTTAGGTGAGTGAACAGAGAGGGTCTCTAGCTTATCTCACTGGAGGTGACTGGCAGCATTCACTGACCCACTTAAGGAGAAACTTTGCTCTAAGGAGAGTTTTCCAGAGTGTGCTGTATGAAAGTCATATCAAATGGAGGGGTATCTATGTGGAGGTTACTATTAGGATATTTGAAGCATTTTTCAAGAAAGAGTTTTCGTAAGAGGCAACCTGTGTCCTTCAAAGGAGGAAATGTTAGAGGGAAGGCTGGTTCCTTCCATCCTGAAAGCAATGTGTTGACTGGATCAGCAAGACAGGTTTACTACCCCCCAATGATGAGGGAAGTCACTCTGGATGTTGGAGTTCTACATCCAAGTCTGCTTTGCTAATATCACAGACCAGTTCTCAGCTGTATAGCTATCCATTGGACTATTTAACAGAACCCATAAAGAAGCCACTGATAGTATAAAATGGAACTGTTCTGACAGCAAATATCAAAAAAACTGCCCCCAAAAAATCAGCAGTCTTGTGGTTTGGTCACTTGACTGAATATAATATCCCAGTTTAAATCCCAGTGAACTGTGCAGATGAGACTGGAATATGCCTGGAGACTGCCCTATCAGGCCATCCTAGGACATACAATCCTTTTCTGATTCTTGACATGTTTTTGAGGAGTCTCTCTTGCCTTAGAGGAGACTGGGACAAGCCTCTCAGAATTATCTTCTTCCCACCTTGAGTAAGTAATAAGATAGCTGGGATTCTTTTCTCCATTTTCTCTTTGTATTTGTGAGTTAACTTTGTGTTTATGAAAACTGGTTTTCAGGTTAGAATTAAGAGACTCATTAATAACTATGTAAAATTAGAGGGAAATAAAGCAAAGATTGTCAAAATAGCTCTCTGGTTTTCTTCCTATTTCAAATTAGGCTGGCCATGTCTGTGGAGATGATATAGACCTAATTGATGGACGTCCCACTGGTTCTGTGAGAATATCCTTTGGCTACATGTCTTCTTTTGAAGATGCACAGACTTTTCTGAAATTCATCATAGCCACCAGACTTTCCAAGTCGAACACTGAGATTCCCTACGAGTCCTCTGTTACAAAGCTGACGACAAAGTCTGTCCCAGATGACCACCCTTCCTTTAACATTGCAGGTAAATTGTCTCCAATACCACACATCTTGGACAGAGAACTCAGGAATAACTCGTCTGTGACAAAGATGACTGTCAACTGGCAGCCACCGGAGGCTGAGGCGGAAAGCATAAGGGCAGCTGTTTCTGAGACTGCAGTACCAACATGTAGAAGAGGTGGCCAGCCCATCACTGTCACCAACATTTACCTCTACCCCATCAAATCCTGCTCTGCGTTTGAGGTATAGCACTTTGACTCATTCTTAAATGTACATCTCAACCTTGTGCTTTTCCTTACCCCTCTCAGACATATCAACAAGGAATACCATGTGTGTGAGACATTAGGAAGCAGTATATGGGTACCTATTTTTTCCTTTTCTCCAGTTTCTAGGGTCAAGTCCTGCATGCTAAGGTACTTGAAGGATTTTTAGTTAGACTGAAGTTGCAGGATGCAAATGTGTCTTCTGCTCTACTCTCCCCCCCAACAGACAAATCTGCACATAATATGCAGTCTCGAAAAAAATAGTTGGATTTGCAAAACTGAACTAAAATATAATCAAGTAATTAGTATGCTTTTACAGAATGACATGTGACGGACTTACAGGCATTGATGGGTAGGCAGCAATTGAGAAATAACTTGATTAACATGTTATAATTGAGAGGAGGCTGATTTACATTACAAAGAAATGTTATCATTAAAAATACATTTGCAACAGAAATATGACATTTAAGTGTTCCTGCACTATTTGAAAGTTCACTCTTTGAAGATTTTAATTGCTTTTTTACGAAGTTAATAATATCATCACCTTAGCTGTGCCTTTTTTTTTTTTAAATAATGCATGGTGAAATAGGTGTATGGCCCACACATGACCTAGAATGCGGCTCTGCTTAGTACCATACTGGGAAGGGATTTAATGAATGTCAATATCGGTATAACTTTCCCTATGAAAACTCGCTGGTGTAGGTCACTGTCTCACATCTGAATGAAAATTGGGGTTAAATCCAGTGACAAATCACCTGCATTTAAAATATGGCTTCATAACTGATTTGATCATGATTTTTTTTTTCTTAAGGCAAAAAGAGGCTGGGGAATTAAAGCAAAGACTGTTAAATGATCAACAAAACTTCTGTATTTTTAAATTTGGTTTGGCTCATAATGTCTTTAACTCGGATGAACAATTTTGAGCAGTAAATGAGACCTGAAGAAACAATTTCCATGCCTTATTAACCTCCCACTAAATCAAACTGTTCAGAAAATCAAAGTAATCCCACATTTCATCTGAAAATGTTTTAACCTTTGTTAAAGTGTTGCCGTTATTATAGGTGTATTATAGAAGCTCACTACAGGAGTTGCTGAAATATGTTGTAGCAGTATCCGGACCCCTTTAGAGTTAAATTCTATTTTTAACATGCAGGCTGGTGTTGTGAGATAGATACCACAACATTCAGAGCTAGGAAGGCTTTGAAGTGTTTGTGCCCAGGAGCAGGTAAGACGTACCTCAGCATGAAAGACAGCTTATGTTCCCCCACAAGCTGAGCCAGGTTTCTTCTCTTCAAGCTCTGTGAGGGGAAACGACTTTAGGTGATGAATTCATACAAACCTGCTACTCCCTGGCAGACAGAACTGCAGTTTTACATGGAGGTAGAAAATCCCTGTTCCTCATGCACGCTTCTTGTGCCAGTTATGTGTTAATGGGCCCAGCATGAAAGCAGGGTTCCTCATACCCCAGCTTACCCCTCCAAAGTTAGATAGTATTCAGTAAGCAGTGAGAGGTGGATACATGTTAACTCATCTTACTGTAAAATAGGCGTCTGTGGTAGGAAAAATTAACTATTCCTGGATATTTCTGTCTCTTTCCATTAACTACAGGAGGAATCCAAGGCAACTTGGATTACACAACTAACACTAGCTGATTTGAATAGTTTAAAAATACAAATATTAAAATAGCAACTATATTATGAGTTTTAGTTTTGCCTAGAATAATTTTTGAAGTCTAGTGTATTCTGGTTTGATATTTTTTGATAACAAAGTATGAGCCACATTAGAACCCAGTAAGCTAAGCACTGTCAGAGCCTGTATTTCCAAGAAGTAATACACAATTTAATATATACTGGCTTTAGTATATGATATTGGAAGGGACTGGAAGTTCACCATCAATAGCATCTAATTCTTCTCCTCCTCTTCTCAAATAGCATTTTTTGTGCATTTCCACTTAGTTCATAGAAGATACATGAGTATATGTGAAGGAACAGTAGAAGCTGACCTAATAGAAACAATGAAAAAGGGCTTTCAGTGCATGAGGAGAGCAGGACAGTAAATGAAGCCAAAAGATTGACTTTTGTTATTTTCAGTACTGAAGTAAATCCCAAAAGAAAAAGTGTTTGCTTTCATGATCTTCTTCCTGTCCACCAGGCATTCTTCAGGTTTTTGTTCCCAAAGGTCTGAGTGACACCTCTAGACCTGTTGCAAGTTTATAACCAGCCTGAGAAAGAGGCTGTTGATCTCATTGTCTGCCTATAGAAGAGATGCAAATGGCAACTTGCAGCCCACCATTTCTAATGAGCTTTAAAAGTCAGTCAATCCCATTCTAAATCAGGCAGTTGCTTGGTTTCTTCCCAACGACTAAAAGCAGAATGGTAAGCCAGTGCTGCCAGAACCCAACATCATCACTAACTGCAGAGTGCATCACCCTCCACAAATCTATGTATGTCATTACTGCAACTTCAGCCTGTATGACCCTGAAAGGGGAGAATAACCCACGCTACATGGCACTGGAGTTTGAAGCAAGACATGCCAGATAAACCTTACCACAATTAAATGGACTCAAATCCTGGAAATCATTTTGCCTTTTAAAATGTTGATTATACCAGCATTTCTAGGCTTTATCATGAAAAGATTGAATCCCATGGGAAAGTATTCCTTTGCAAGTCTCTTAGTGGACTTTGTCATACAGATCTCACACTTAGTAAACTCATAAACTTCTGAAGTAATAATCATATAGTTTGTGTTTTCCTTAGTCTTCAGTTAGAAGCCAAGAATTGAAAATCAGTTTCGTGTTTTAAATCTAAAATACCTTTAGATGCCTTGTAGTTGTTGGAAAGTTAGAAAAATATTTTCCCAATTAAAAATTTGATCTCCTTTTCTATCCATTATAAGGTACCTCTAAGCTACTTGATGTGGAAAGGTGAAGGAGGTTTAATTATTGGGCAGCAATAAATTCACTCATCTTGTACTTGGATCACAGAATGGTGGGGGCTGGAAGGGATCTCTGGAGATCATCTATTCCAACCCCCTTCTAAAGCAGGTTCGCCTACAGCAGTATTGAGATCAGATGCTTGAGATCAGTATCTCATAGATTTATCTGTTCGAGTGCAGGCCTCCAGAGGATATGGTAGGTCAGACCTTTAGCATGTGTAGTGAATGGGCTTTATTGTGAGTACATGATTGCTTGCCTTTGCCTAAGATAATACGTGCAGTGGAAAATTCCAGCTAATTGTGTGTGCAGGACCCAGCCTGTCTGCCAGGGAAGTCTCCCTGCTGACTTACTGGTTGCAGGATAGATGGCTTGATTAGTGGAGGGAGGACAAACTCGATGGGGATATGAGTACAAACTCACAGCTGTTCGATCTCCTCTGTAGAGTCACATAATCCCCTCCTCTCTCAAACTCTGATTTCTCTGCTCTATTCTGCGTATTTTAGTATGGGAGGTGCTTGACCTCCAGAGAGAATGAGAGTGCAGAGTGCTTCGGCAGCTGGGAGGATGAAGCTTGGCATGACGATCATCAGCTCCCCATGGGTTGGTTAGTTCCTACAGCATGTATGTTTTGTAAAGTGTTCCTGGCCACGGGACGGTTTCTGTTCAGTGTTGTTCCATGGGGTTTGTGCACACAGCACAGGAAGTGGAGAGCAGAATATTCTAAATCAGCTTCTTAAATGCGCTTTCTTTTCCTTCAAATTATTTTATTAAATGGGGAGAAGAGGAGTAACCTCTGTCCCAATCCCTGATCACTCTTCTTCTTTTCCAACATAAAAATGTGTTTTAAACATGCATTTTTAAACACGAACATCTCTCATGTCAATGAATTTTGCATAATCACATAATGCAGTATGCCCAGTGAAAAAGGTTAGGATTTAAACATTAATAACTTTATTATTCATGCAGTAGATTTCAGAGTATAAAAATTGCATCTCAACACAGAAGACAAATTAGCTTTTAATTTAACATACAATGCAAATTCCTAGTGATTGGTGGATAAATTATATGTAAGACCACTAATGTTGTTAAACTTGCGTAATTTAAAACCTATTCAGTGATTACTTTAATGTGTTTGAAAATTGTGTTAGCCTTCATGATGACATTGCTGTGAACTATGGAAAAATGCAGCCCAAAATGTTGTAAAGAAAATTCTGGGGAAAAAAACAAAAACAAAAACAAAAATAAAAACATGTTTTTGCAATGAGTATTTTTACATTACAAGAAGAAAAATGGACTAAAGCAGGCACCATAGTACCATGTACTGGCTGTACTATGCAATGATCCTTGCTTATGTTAGATAGAGAATACCTTATGTTGCGTGATTAGTCCACCTGCCATGCCGGGAATGAAGGTGTATGCTAGCATCTATCAGTAAAATCATGGGGTGTCCCTGATCTTTTTCTGTCCTCCCCCTTCTAATTTGCCTCAGTAGTCTGAGATGGCCAGACACCTTCAGGGAATCCAGTTAGCAGCTAGGTAATACAGTATTGCTTACTGCGGTGTGCGCTAACTGTTTTATTTTACTTCGCAGTAAGGTTCGTTGGTTGCTTTGCTTCACTTCGTGGTGTTGGTTGCCTGGATGTAGGTATTTAGTGACATTTGAGTGCCCTGGCTGACCTCCTGCTGCTGCTCCTCTGGGAAGTGGTTCATCTTTGCAGCCTGTGTCACTCCTGCTCGCCTTGGGCAGACATCTCAGATGTAATCCAAGGGAGCCAAATTGAACCACTCTTCTCGTGTCTCAAATGAAAGCAGAGCAGGCAGAATTTGCTTGAACTGCTGTAATTCAGTTGCTTGCAATCATTTAACAGTCCCTTTAGCCTCTGGAATACCGGCAGGAGACGGTCTGCATAGATGGCATGCCTAAGTACTAAGAATAGAAATGTGTGTGTTCTTCCATGCTCATCTCCAGTATCAGGATTAGCAACAAACCGGCTCGGACTGTTTCACGATCGTCTGTGACTCTCTGTCCAAGGCAGGGTACACAGTTATTTTGTTGTTGCAACTTTATTTTTTGGGATCCTAGCAACATATGCAATACAGCAAGTTGAAAAGTGGAGAGAAAGTAGGGCACTGGGCAGCGTACAGGGGGCATCCAGGAGAGGACAGGGACTCACTGCTGGGCACGCGTATGTATGATTCTTGTTACGGTGGCAAATACCCACAGGAAGGGGAAAAATGGGCTGAAGATGTGTAGCCGTGTGCTGCATCTCAGAGTGGAGCATGGAGTTACTTGCCATTATTTTGGACCTTCCAGGGGTCTTTTGAATGGAAGGTGATGATTATTTCCAAGTGTCTGCTACCTAGTCAGCCGAGCTTTCCCCACAATGCCTATCAGCATGTAAGAATGAGCTGAAGCACTGCTTAAAGAGAAGTGGTTTTGTTTTGCTCATAAAACCTCTTACCTTCAGTGAAGGGTAAGCAAACACTCAAGCTATTTCCTGAATAAGATTGCTGTCCTGAATTGGAACCAAAACAGCTGAATGTTACAATAGGGAGCTAGGAATCATTGTCTTCATGCTCTTTTTCTATTTTTCTGTTCTTTTAGTTTATTCTGCTCATTATGTCTTGCAAATCCTGTAAAGATCTGCTGGATCCATGGGAGGATGTATTACTGATTAGTGATCTTCTCTTTTGGAAGGGAGGTTTGTTAGCAGGAAATTCTTGCAGCTCTTAGATGATCACCAGCTGTTCAAAAGCATTTTGTAATCTAATTACACAGGATAACAAAAAAATACTGGCCTCTCCAAGAACAATTGCCACCAAGGACAAAAGTCTGTTCTCCAGCTGATATTGCAGTCTTTAGGCTGTTATTCCTCTCCTAAAAAGACAGGGCGAAGGTTCACATCATTTAGGCGCTTGAACAACGTGGTTTCAGGTGACACTGTCAGACCCGAAGTTTCCATTTTTGACTGAATTTTTCATCCACACTCACTTAAAGAACTGGAAAATAATATTATAAATCAAGTAGGCTGATAAAATATATTTCTTATGTTTAAATTTTTTCCATGTATCTTCTGTATTCAATACAGTTGATAGCACTGTGGCCAAATTATTTAAGAGTTCAGCTTTAATGCTTTTAAGTTTTCCATTTCAGAGTGCCTGCCTTCAGCTTTCTCTAGTCAGGCTGTCAGTGTCAATCTACTGCTGCAGACTCCTATAAAACCTGGAAAAGCTTATAGGAATGGGATATTGTGGTTCTGCGGGGTTTTGGATAGAGCACATGTTAAACAAGAATGTGATTTTTAATTAATCTAACCAGTGCTTCCATCCATGCTTTTCTTCAGAGCACCAGGCTGTGCCTGACATATCTTTTTCTCAATACTTTTTGCTAAAGTCTTTTGCCAGTTAATTCACGTGAGCTGTGCTAAGCGTCTCGACAAGAATTCAACAAAGTTCAGCTGTAGTTAACTTTTCTCCGTATTCATCTGTGACTAGAAAGCATACATGAGTTGAAGCAGTATGTTTAAATGCCCAGCTTTATGTTAAAAGAATGGTATTAATATTTTAACATTCTGAAGGAGAAAGCAGTTATTAATATCACCCAAAGGCATTACTAAAATTGCTCTCTTTTTGGATTTCAAGATTACCATCTGTGTAGCATCAGTAACAGATGTTCTTTTCACCAGAAAAATGTACATGAAAGCAAGGACAATATGCTTGTATAGGCTATTGAATGTAAAGAGTGTTATGGAAGTGATGGAAGAACAGATAGCAAAGAAGACAATGTGCTTTGTTGTAAGGAGATCTGGAGAAACTATTATGCTCCTAGCTAAACCAGAAACCTCAGTAGTGGAGGTTTTCTCAAATGACTTAATTAATAAAGTGGTTCCAGTTTTATGAAAAATACGGACTTTTTTTCAGAATTTTGAATTTCACAGTTTTCTTGCTTTTTGTTTGTTTGATTTTGCCTTAGTTCATACAACTCCCATGAAATGTCCATGCTTTGTAAATCAAAATAAAATTGCTGGAGAGAAAGGTCCTGAAAATGGATGACTATAAAACTGAAAGCAGCTTTCAGAGTGTTTCGGAGTTGTTTGCTCTCTTCTTATAGCTCTGTTAAATCAAAGTGTATGATAATATGTAACAAATTATAGTAACTCCATTTTGTTTTGTCAGCTTTGTGCAGTGATATCTTTATCTTTGATTTGCAATTAAGGTTTCTCTTATTATCGGCTGACATTGGCTTGCACAAGTTTTCCTGATTTCACAGTATTTCATTAATGGTTTCTTTTCCCCTCTCTTTTCTTTGCATGAATCTATTAATGAAACTAGCATTAGCATTTTCTAAACCTTTGTGTCCCTTCCTGATGCTTTTCCAGGTTACAGAATGGCCAGTGGGAAACCAGGGTTTGCTGTATGACCGTAACTGGATGGTTGTAAACCAGAATGGAGTCTGCATGACTCAGAAGCAGGAGCCAAGGTTGTGTCTTGTAAATCCTTCAATTGATCTGAAGAAAAAGGTTATGGTCATCCAGGCAGAAGGTTAGTAACCAATATCCTTTTGTCCCCTTCATTATTCGTGTCAAACTTCTAGACAGAGACACCTGTAAGAACCCACCAAACTACTGAACGCTGTGTAAGCTTACTGACTTCAGGGACAAATTCTCCTACCAGCTCTGGGCAAAGAAAGCCTAGGCTGTGATAGACAGCCCTGGGTAGTTTCCTAGCGTGTTGTTGGGTGGGCAGAGAGTAGACAGGGATATCTTATGTGCAATCATAAAGTGGGTGCTCCAGGAAGGAATAATGAACTGACAGAACTGGCTGGTCTGTCTCTCCATGTCGGGAAGTCCACCAGCCTCAAGGCACTGTTATTGCTGCAAAGGAATAGGAGTCTAACATCAAACACCCTGGCCAAAAACCTTCCCATTTTATAGCTCTCCTCCTCCTTCCTGCTGTGGGACTAGAGGGGTAGAGTCTTCAGGAAATTGGTATGAATTAAAATAAGGACCAGACATTATTTAGCTCAGTGAAATACTTGCACTCGCAGGCAAATATTGCATGATGTTTGGGCTTCTCTGGACTCATCAAAATCCTTTCTATTCTCTGCTGAGGGAAAAAAAAAACAAAGAAAACTTATGAAAAGTATTATTGAAACCCTTTGCTACTTCAGGGTGCAAATTATTTATTTTGTTAGCACTGAACACTGGATCAGGTTTGTATTCCACGACAGTCATTATTAATGCCAGGTTTGCATGTGTCTGAATGGTGTTCGTCATTTCCCTGAGGTCTAACATTTACTCAGCCTGTATGTCTTAACCGTAAACAATATGTGTGCCCACATTTTCAGCAGCTAGATCAAAACAAGGGAACCTATATTCAGATTTTCACCCTTTATTAGAAATGCATATGAGTGGATCTGTAACTACAGTCTCCTTTCTGTTTGTACGTTATAGTTGTTGTCCTCTCCAGCTGTCTGAGCACTCTCCATAAAATTAAGTCTGACCAGTTGATTTCTTTTGTCTGGAATAGGTTTGTCAAATGCACCTTTGGGTACTTCCACTAGTCCTGTGTGATTTTGTGTGTATGTTTCAGATTCCAAACACAATCTAGTCTCTTCTTAGGGATTCCGGACAGGCTCATTGGCACAAACACTGCTATTTTCCACTCTTCCTTTTGTGATACTTCTTTTGAAAGGTATTGTTAATTCATGTCCATTCTATGTGGAGCACCTGGCACCTCAAATTTTTGTAGTACAGTTGCATAGACAGTCTTCTCTCACAACTTTTAAATTACCAAGTGCTTCAGAACTGATTGTTTCTAGAAATTCAGTTCCTTTCCCTCTCTCTCCCTTTCTGTTGGTACCTCTTGCTTGCAAACACAATGTGAAGTCTTGTCCGAACCTTCTCCATTTGTCCCTCACATTTTCAGAGGTTCAGTTCTGTTGGGCCTTTTGATTGCTTCATTCTGCTCTTCTAAGTATGTTCCTAATTTTTTTCCTTGCTAGTACCACATTGTTCAGACAAGTGCAAATCCATTATTACGTTTGCCTGTCAATAATACCTGCACTGACATACTTCAGAGAGTCAGGAAGAAGTTTTCTCAGACAAAAATTACAATCATGGAACCCATTGCTCACTGAGATTTACAATCTCTTGCCGTAGTTAATGCCAGTGTGAAATTCACCTTTAAATCCTACATTTTATTTTGTGTCATTTTCAGAGTTTTCCCTGTCATTCACCTTCCTTCCTATGAAAGTGAGAACCATTTCCATCCAGAAGTGATTGACCAAGTCTATGGATCACTTTTCTTCCCCAGAGTGATTGATCAGATCTCCAGTGTGCTGTAACAGAAACATGGTTGGCATTTATTTATAGCCTGCTTTGGTACAACCAGTACATAAGAGTGGAGTAATTTTATTCTTTGTATGATGACTCTAGATAGCCCATAAGGTGGTCTGGGCTGCCTTTTTATAATAGTCCTGCTATTTTTCACTCTTGCAGTGTACTTGCAACCTGTGGTATTTTTTTTAATGCATGACAGTGAGATAATGGCTCTCATTTGCTTGGGGAGACTATTCCAGAGGTTACTGCTCATGAGATAGGACAGTGATGGGAATACATATGAACTGACAGGGTAAGACTGAGCAGATAAATCTGTAGGAAGTTGTTCCAATATTTCTTCTGTTTTCTTTCCTCTTACCTGCAGTCTAGATGCATGATTTGCTTCTTGGTGTTACATTTTTAATTTTTTTCTTTTATCCCTTCACATACATGGGTCATTTTTATATCTCCCACTTAAATCATTTCATGGCAGACAAATTGAATTTAAAAAGTTGACTCTTTCCTTGGAAATCCCATGTTAATCACTTTTAATGCTTTTGTCACCACTCTCTCCAGCCTGTCAGTAGTTTGTTGCTAACATAGGACCTGAAGCCAAACGCCACGTGTGTAACTGGAGCAGCAGTCAGTGCGGTGAGGAGCAGTAGCCCGCTGATGAGCCAGGCTGGCTGTTGTGCAGCTCAGAGTCTTCACTGCCCTACGTCCGTGGTTAATGGCACTTCAGCTTTGTACCACTTAGCCTGCTGACTGCAGCCACCTCCAGGTCTCTTCCAGCTTTGTTGCTTTGCGAGTTTCTTTCTCCCACTGGATGCCTCCCACTCGAACTGCCTTTCCTCAACTACAGCAGCATGCACCTTCCCAAGAGGAGTTTTGTTTCCTCCAACTCCCCATCTCCACCCCCTGCCCTCACACTCCCCGTGCAGTTCCTCGGTTCTTCTTGGTGTGATGGCGGAATTTCTAGTGGTGAGGAGTGGGTGAGGGAGGCGACAGCAGTAGAAAAAAAGAGGCAAAACCTTTGAGCCACACCTTTCCTGCACCCCTTGCTCTGCTAAAACAGCCCTCAGCTGATGGGGTGACTGCAGTCAAGCCAGCGGCCTTCCTCCTGCTCCGCTCCAAGGAGGCTGTAACCACTCTGCTTTTTCTACCAGTTTCTCTGCTGTCATCTGTGCTTTGCTCACTGTGAGAGCAGGCTGTGGCAATGATCTCCATCTAGAGTGCGCTTTGCTGTCTGGAGGTGTCTCTCTCCAATAGAGAGAGCCTAAGGCAACTGTGCTGCTGGATTAGGTGCCTCTGGTAAGTGCCTAAAGCCCAGTGGGGCAAATCCCACATAGCTGAATTCTGTGGCATTCTTAAAGAACATTTTGCTGTTACACTATTAGATTATGGTGAAGACTTTATCTGTGCCAATTTTAAAATGTAATGAGTCTGTTCTTCCTCCCCCTCCAGGCATGTGTTTTCCTCTCCCTCTAGAACTTTTCATTAGTGGAAAATTTGTTTATGGCTATTTTAGTTCAATATGGTTTAATATTCTCTGTCTTCTCTGTCCAACAGAATAAAACTGTCAGCATGATTTAGTGTGACAGTAACTACTTTAATACCTTTTACTGAATCCTCCGTGTGCTGAGACATTGCTTCATGGTCTTTCTTTAACCCTCATGTGTAGCGTGTCGCCGTAGCCCATCTAACAACCAGCCTTGGATGGGCAGACTCACTGTCTGACCAACCCAGCTGTGTGATCCTGCCGTCCCTGTGGGGAGCAAGGACATCAGACTGAGGCTCTAGAAAAGGCCTAAACTGCTCAGCAGCTTAGGATCCTTCCCTGGCATGCCTGCAAAATCAGTTGACTTGCATGGCAACTGGGGAGCTCCATCCAGGTATTCCCCTGATCCCTGAGGAAGGGATTAGTGAGAGCAGAGGGAGAGGAAGGACCTGTGCTTGGTCTCTCATTGACTGTACTTTACTTCGTTAGAGGGAGTGAGACTTTAATTTTGAAAAACTGCCTTTCTGAACTTGGTCGACATTATTTTCTCAGGCTATGTGGTTGGTGACAGGCATTTCCTATTCTTTTTGACACAAGGAGTGTAACTAACCCTTACTATCACAGGACCCACTTTGAGAAAATCAGCGTAACTTTAAGTAAGCCTCTGTGGAGAAAGACAACTTCTTGTATCTTGACTGAAGCAGTTAATGGTTAAGCTCCCAGCAACTTAAAGGTGGGCAGAAGCAAGTGCCTTTATTTCTAGAAGCGTATTACTTCAGTGGGAATCAAGGGAAATCTTGTTGTCCTGCTCCATAAAATACATGGGGGCACAGATTACACTGGGCTTGTTCCTAACCAACATAAAAGTAAACCAAAGAGAATTTAGCTGAGAATACATTTCTGTGGAAAACTAGTTTCTCTCTTTCCATTTTAGCTAACAATCAGCAGTACTCTGGCAAGTTGGCATTAGTTTGTCACTGCACAGAGGGAGAAATTTTGAGTGCTGTGAAGGTCCTTTAAAATATTTGAGTAAAAAGATGCTAGCAAAACTGAGCAACTAATTACACTTTATGGAGTTTATTGTGCCTTCAAATAGTCATGTGTTACTGCCAATAAAAATAATGGAAATTAAGTGCATACACTGACGAAAGAATATACATGAATAGTTTATATTTCAGTCTATTGAAATAACAGACCTCTAATTTTTCTCATTGACTGAAAATAGGAGCTATAAAGAGAAGAATATTTTTTTTTATATTAATGCTGTGAGCACATCTGTGAATTTTATTATCAAGCAAATGACCATGGAGAATGACAGCTTTTACATTTTAGTAACTGGCAATATTCTGCTTTCTTTTTTTGCCTTAAGATAGAATAAAATTGTAATTAACAACATTTAACTGACCTAGACATCACTGTAAAATGTGTACTGTTCAATAAAAATGTGATACATTTGCTGGTGTATAAAAACAGGGCTTTTTAAAGCCCTGAGATTCTATTTTAAGAAATTTTGTGAGTATGCCTTGCTTAGAAACTATTTTTAAAAGATATAACAGCTAAGGATGCATATAGGATGAAACCTTTCAAACTCTTCTTTTCCAGAAGGAATGATGCTAGTGTTTAATTTTTTCAATGTACAAGAGCGTTAGTTCTAGTTTATAAGATGATAACATTGCCTTCTTTTTCAGGTTGTTGCAAGCACGTTCAACGTATTTATTACTTACGTGTTTTATTCTCCTAAGTGAACCTAGCTTTTCGTCCTCTGTCTTTGCTTCTGAAGCCAAAAAAGGGGTAGACATCTTTCTGTAATTGAAAACTTGATAGAACAGAGCTGATAGTTGGGATACAGTGAATCTGAACTACATTTCATTATTCTTCAGAAGAGAATAAAACAATTTGATTTTACCATGTCAGAGCTGCTAGAACTTGATTCTTATTTGTACTACAATAACACAACAGGAAATAATGAGCGAAACTGAAACATGCTGGTATAAAGCTGGGGTACAGGAGATCAGTCTTTGCTGGTTTGTGTTGCAGTATAATGGAAAAGGGTTGGATTCACTGCAGTCACACAGTAAAACCCTTTGTTCGTCGTTTCAGATTTTTGCTTTCAATTTACAGAATGGAAAATAGTACAGCTTTTGTTTTCATTCTGCTATTCTAGTAAGCCGCAGTAGCCTTGCCATCTCTTTGGCTCATTCTGTCCAAGATGAGAAAACTTTGGAAGAAATTGTTAACATAGATCATCACCAAGGATTCCTCGTCTGGTTTAAACTTAGAGATGGAGATGGGAATAATTCTCTCATTAGTGGTTTCCAAACATTTTATTTTTAAATTATTGTCATTTTATGACACATTATATTTCTTTCCTTGAACAGCTTGTGCTTATTTTTTCTCTCCTATCTCCCTCCATCTTTTGTCTTTCATCTTTCTGATCACTACATCCCACCACTCCAAAAAAAACCAACCCAACAGTGAATAACCTCATCTTCTGATTTGCTAGAGGGGGCACAACAGCGATAAACTCATCCTTTCAACAGAAACCATGACTAGGGCAGTAATTCTGTGCCAGTTTCGTTGCCCAAGATACACAGGGAACAAAGTTACTCGACGCTGAAATTGTACAGTCCTTAATGTGGTTTGGGTACCAAGGTCATCTGCAGCCTTTGCTCTTTGCATTATCATTTGGAGCCACCTGCAGGCAGAGAATATAATTCTAGCAAAATGAAAGAGGATTTTTGTCACGTGCTGTTTGGGAGGCTGTTGTGATTGTGAACAGGTGCAAAAAAACCTTTTTTCATGACCCTATATTTTTGCATATTTTTTTTTAATATGTTTTGCTCTCTGCCCATCTAGGCATGGACCCAATATCTATATCTCTAGAAGAAGATACTGGAAAAGAGGCTTTGATCTGTGAGAGTAAAGTCTGTTCACACAGGTGAGTGAGAGCAGAGAGGAATTGAGCTGAAAAATCACTGCAGTGACACTTGGGACACACAGAGTCAGAAATCCTTTGGAGAAAAGAGAGGAGGAGGGTGGAAAGCAATGAATGACTTAGTGGACCAGGAGAAGACAGATTTAGGCAGGTAATTTGGCATGCCCAGAATATCTAGTAGAAAACACTAAAAAAATAATAAAAATCAAAAAGGAGAGGAAGGATAGTACAAGAGATTGTGATGACTTGGTGCTGACTTCAGTAAGGGAGATCTTTGTTTTACTTGCTGCAAGGATGAGAAAAGGGAAGGGTGTCCCAGTTACTTCCAAATGCCAACTGGGGGCCTCAGCAGGGCTCTAGAATTCCGTTCCTTCATTTGACAGTAATGATGCTGGCATCTTTGCCCATTTCATGCTGTGTGGATTCAAAATTGCTAGAACCTGCTGAGGTTATAAACAGCTTTCCATATTTGCAACCCTTTTTAATTTTGTTTTGACCACCATGTTGATCAGTGTCCCCTTAACAATCTTGGGAAAATTGCAGGTGAGTATATGAAATAACATTAACTCTAATCAAGAGACATGCCACTTCAGCGAAATATAACGTTATGCATAAATTAATTTCTTATCAGTGAACTTAAGTGTTTATCCATCATATTTTCTAAGTACTTCCCAGTCTCATTAAGTTTTCTGAGTGGCAGCGTATCAAGTGCCTTCCTGACGTACATTTGCATTACTGAATCTCTTGGTAAGTCCAACTAAAAACCCACTTACAGATTTACGTCTTCTTTTAACCAGGGTATACTAATTCTTTGTAACCCTCTACATTTGCTTCTCTGAGGGTAACACATAAACAAACCAGCAGAAGACCTGGCCATTTTTCCCATGGAGCCATGCAGGAAGTGATCTTCTACTTCTTTTCTACTAGCTATTCAAATGATAAAGAGGATTTTTTTCTAAGTGTATTTTCGTCAGGTAGTGGAATTCACCCAAGAGTCATTTGTTTTAACCATCTGTCCCACTTCCCTTCACGTTGACTCATCCTTAGCATCCCCATGGTTAGCCCATCTATTACAGGCTGTAAAATAGCCTAGGTTATCTTTCTCTCTGTGTGCGTATAATTGGCTGCCATACTATTTATTGTAGCTTGTCTTTCATCTCACTGTCTGTGTCATTTTTAATGTATGAAATAGGCAATTTTCATGGGAAACTGCTTAGAGTCTGAGGACAAAGAAAAGGACAGAATGACAAAGGGGAGATATGAGACAAATTGCACAGAGTGGACTGTGATGAGCGAATAAACAAGGCAGGAAGCAAGGCAGAATGAGTGGACAACGTTGATGAGCCTCTGAAACTGCTCAGAGATTCAATAGTACTTGATACCATGTTCCCGTATTTCAGCAGGGGAGCCTCCAGGTCCAAAAAATGAGAAGCAGGAGCAAAACAGTGCTTTGCAGTAGGACAGGAGGTGATTTGTGGTCTGGGGTCCTTTCTGCAAAGTGTCTGAGGTGAGAAGTGGGACCAAACTTCTTTGTTAAAAGGTTTTTGTTCAAAAGAAACCCCTACTGAAGCCATTTTCCACTTAGTAATTCTGCTCTATGACACTGTGATTTCATCCAGTTCTGTTGGTGTAGGTGGTTACTCTGAATTTACACTGAGATAGCTGAGAAAAGCACATAATGTAGAGTCCTCAAGCAGTCATGTGAAGAAGTTTAGTTTCATGGCAGCTACAGAAGTTTCCCTTGTGAAGCACTTCATCAGTGTTAGCCTTCACCTCAGCAGGGGTTGTCCATCAGCATATGCTGCTCACATCAGAGAGATGTGGCTTTCAAGTATAAAATCTAGCAGTGGACAGATGTAAGTAGAAGCTAGTGATGTTAAGGTTATTGATGTTGTAGAAGACCCTAAATGCTCAAGGTTAGTGCTCTACTGAAATAGGCAGGGATATCAATATCAAAGAGATCGAGGGAAGGATATCAGCGGTAGAAGACGACAAAGTTGCAGTAAAAACAAGGTGAATTGAGCCTGTTGTGCATGAATGTATGTATTATATCCCTTGGGATCAATATTCAGACTTCAGCTGTCCTTGTTTCTTGTTCTATAAATTCCCTAGCAAAGAGGGACCAGCTGTAATGCGCTGAAGCTAAATGACATAATACGAAGATGAGTGGGGAACTCAAGGCAAACAGCAAGGAAAATCTGAGAGAACTAGGCCCTCTGTAATAAATTGCCTGACATGTGTCAAGCGAAATCTAAAGCTGACAGATGTAGAGTAATACTCCACAAAAATAAATGCAAGCATAAAATTAGTAGAATTGAGCTATAACAGAAGGACTTTGGATAAGACCTTGAAGAGATGACAGTACTTGCTCAAAAAATGGTCTGACAATAAGGGAAAGCAATTTGAAAACACAGGAGTCTTGGAATATAAAAACTACACGGTGATATTTGATGAAATACTAACAATGCTGTGTGTCTCTAACTCAGCCACTGTGACTCAAAATGATAAGCAGATAAAAAAAAAGGAGGGCAAAATTTTGTTCCTGATTTGTACAGTATTAAGTCCCAGCACACTGCTAGAGGCAATTGGCTCAGGAAAGAATTTAAATACTCCTAGCACCTCTGTTTGGGTGGGAAAAAAATATTTGGGGAATTTGTTTCAGCTGTACTGTTACCATGGAAGATTCATGCCTTCTCCCTAACACAGTGACCAGCAAGGGCAGAAGAGTCACTCAGCTCAGACTATGAAATCTCAAGTAGAGACTCACCTTTTGGCCTCTTTCTTGCCACAATGTCTGCATCTCGTAGTACCAGAGTTTCCTTTCAGCTCTGGGACATCACTGGCTAGATGTGGCTGTAGTTGGCATCTATCCAGTCTCAGCATGGGGAAAGGGACACAGAGCTGCACCACAATCAAAATTCCGGACAAGTGCTGAAGAGATACTCGATCCCTGCAGGATTATAAAATCTCCTTAATTTCACTTGTCCTGGCTTTCTACCTGTGTAACTCAGTTGAACCTACAACGCATTTTGTAAAGCCAAGGCAGTTCCTCTCTCAATCCTAGGGTTTAGCATCTTTTGCTGTGAGGAGCTGTTTTCTTGTTTCACAGAGCAGGTCGTTTCCATGCAGATCAGCTGCTTTGGCTGGGCAGGACAGCAAGGTGAGCATAGGACCACTGCTACTTCACTTTCCTTGCTACACAAATCCTGCCTAGATCGGCATGAGAATTGGCATTCCTCTTACCCGTTTATGCCATTTTAAAGTTAGGTGTCAGTCAAATCTCCTTTTTTAGTCAGTAGAGTTAAATGCTCCCAGAGTGAGAGTCATCCCATCCTGAGGTCTAATGTAGATGGGAACTACTTACCTCTCCCCATTATCTGTGAGGGGAACCCAGACAACTAACTTAAACTAGATACCTAGTTTTAAAAACATTGACGTTAAGATTAGTCAAGGCTGAGGCATCTAGTGGCAAATAGGATCACTGCCCAGTGGTCTGATCTGTGTCCTTCCTGAACTAAGAGAGGGGATCTCAAAATCCTTCTAGGAGGGGTTACATCCAAGTAAAAAAGGTGAATCTGTTGCCAGCCTTGCATAACTCACTAGACAATTTACTAGTAATGGAAGTCATCTTTAGATAGAGAGATACTTGGGCTCTGCAATGGAGCCATGTTTCAAGGTGGAATGTCTGTACTAACATGAATTAAATTAGGGAATTAACATCATTGTACCTGATGGGATCATTAAAAATTACATACAGTGGGGCAATCTTAAATTCAATTCAGGTTAATCCTCTTTGTTTTAGTAAAACGCACAGACCAGAGAGTAACTGTTTCGTAATACCGTATTGTAATATGAGCTACCAGTTACTGTACTTCAGAGTCAGTGTCTTGAGTGTTGTGATTATTTAATCCTTTATTCCACAGTAATTTACTGGATAAAACCAAATTAGATCTTGTGAATGTTAACTTCAAGAGTAACAGAGTAAAGTTGAGGAAATGGGGAGATAAAATTATGCAGAACTTCACATCAGACACTCATCAGACAATACAGATTCTGTATTTTGTGTTGAAAGAAGCAGAATAAACATCTTCATAATTTGTCTTCAGTTTTGCAAATTAGTGTTTGGGCAATCAAATTTTGTGAAGTCCCTCTTTTCTCATAACAGGGTAAAAACATACGACTGCGGAGAAGGAATTGCTGGCTGGTTCTCTATGTTTCTTGGTCGTCCGTGTCACTTGATAAGACAAAGTTCAGACACGAAAAACAGGTCACATCAGAAAAGTACAAAAGGTAGGTTGTCATTCTTAAAAACATTTGTGATTCCTCACTTAGTAAACATCAGGCTCGTTGTCTTCATATGAGCATACAACTACCCTGATAAAGGGCGAAAGAGTCATCCAATATTGATCTAGTAGGTTTCAAAAGGTACGTTTATACCCAAACTGTGTTTATGCTGCCCTTCTACTTCTTACATTTGGTGAAAATTTACAGATACAACAGTCTGGGGGGATGGTTTATCATCATGATCATGATTTTGTCTGGAAACTCAATGATCATTTTGAAAAATGATCATGAAAAATCTATAAACAAAGAATTTATTCTTAGACTAAATTTCATTATAAAAGGGATCAAATTGAAAGAGCACTGAAAATCCATAGATATTGCTCTTGCAAATTGCTTTACATTTTGGTAAAATCTCAGCTTTATCTTGGTGTCTAAATGCATTTCATCATTATCACTTATTGGTTTGAGGGGATTCTTGGAATCTTTCCTTAGTGTCTGGAGCTGAATGAATAACTGTTAATGAGAATGAATAAGAGGTCAAAGGAAAGATGAGGTGAAATTACTAATATAATCTTCCTGATTTTTAACAGTAATTTTAGAACGTTGGGTTGATTTTTTTAGGTCTGGCATCTGCTATGAACATCTCACTCTCTCTTGTGAATGAAGCACAATACCTCCTGATCAATGTAGCAAGCATTCTGCAGCTGAAAGAACATATTTCTGCAAGGTAAGATCCTTCTGTCTCCAAATGTCAGCAGTCTTGGATTCCAGAATCTTGCCACAAGACGCCAATATAGCTGTTTCATCTGGAAGTTTAGAGATACTTTTCAATGTTCAACAAATATATAGGTACTAAACTGCTATAATTACTTGTTCCTGTATGACTTCTGAAAATTTGGATTAAATGGCTGAACATAATCTATCTGCCAGTCATCTTTAGGAAAACTTAAACAAAATTCCTGTCAAACGATTTGGTGGCAGGCGATTACTGGGAACCAGCCAACTTCTACTTGTGGGAAGAACAAGGATAATTAGGTTTTCTCAACATAAATAATCTGGCAGGTGAAAATAAAAAATCTTGCTACTTGCTGAAGTATTTCTTTCCTATGGGAAGAATTAAGATTTAGAGCAAGCATTCACAACAGAAATATTTTAAAACTACTTGCAAGACTGGTTTCATCTCATTTCTTAATTGAATTTGGCTTTACTTGTACAAAAGTGGGAGGCAGAAGCAGCAAATGAAAGCAAATTAAGCCAGCCCACAGTTCAAAGATAAGGAACCCATTACCAACTAAATTTTCATATACTGACAATAGAAAGTTGTTTTTTCTTGAATATAACTGGGACAGGCTCAACTTCCACAGAAAATCTGCCCTCAAGGCCTCCATCACAGCTGTGCATCCCACAGCCCTGGCATTTGTCTCTGAGCCCCCTTTCTCCTGTCTCACCAAACTTCCCTGCATCTGCTTGGAGTCATTGTCTCTCCTCTTAGTCAGCCACAAAACATGCCCCCTGCACTGAAATTCTGGTTTTGAGTAGAGGAGGAATATATCTATATATCTATAGATAGATATCTATAGATATATAGATATATCTCGCACTGTAGGAGAATACATATATAGCTTCAGGATTTAAAACCACTGACTGAATGAAGCATCACTACAGACCACTGGAGCTTGCATTGCCTGAGGGTTTTCTTTCTTTAGGAGAAGACAGTTGGGCAGTTTTAGGATATCATGGCAGTGCTCCTCTGGGAAAAAATGCATGGAAAAGGTTTGAATCAGTCCATCTCTCAGCCGTTTTGACTAACCTTTCTCAGTGATAGTTAATGCCTTCTTTTGAGTCTTGACTCGCTGAGTTACATCTCCTTGAGACAACAACACTTGCAAGCATCCCTTACTAAGACCAGGCTTTTTCCATGATGAGGCTCAGTGAGGATCCTTCCACACATGAGGTCTGAGTGCAAAGAAGAAGAATAAGGCACCAGAGGGAGAAGCAAGTGAGGATGAAGGAGGACAGGGAACTTTGGTAAAATGTGCAATGTCAGATGATCCACTGAGTTTACGCCTAATATTTTCCAGTACAACTAGGCTTGTAATATCTTTTTTCCTCAAAAGAAGCTCCAGACATGACTGGAGCTGCCATGGTGCCTGAGAAGCATCTCGCTTCCCACTCTGCAGCACAAGCTGGAAAACTCCCTGTTTTGCCATGGAGAGCTTTCACAGGGTGCTGGGGAAATTAATTCGGCATGGATATACAGCATCCTTATTCTGCACTGTTGCTAAATCATAGTGTACGAACTTCCAAATACTGAACTGTGCAATGTACTTTCAAGAATCTGCACATATCATAGAATCATAGACTAGTTTGAGTTGGAAGACTCATGACTTTAGAGGTCATCTAGTCCAACCCCCCTGTGGTGAGCAGCAATGTCTTTAGCTGGGTTTTTATTAAATATTTTTTCTTTTTTAGAAAATATTATTTAGCTTCTTGGCATGTGGGTTTGTTTTTCTTTAATGGAAACCTGCTAAGATTTATAAAACAATTTCAATCGTCAATTCAGTTTTTATAATTTCTCTTTGTATCTTCCATAAGTAAAAATTAATCTTCCAGTTTGCACTCAGCTCTTGAGAGGTGATCTAAAACAGAAACAGCAATTTAATTAAAAATTAGAATGTGTCATGCTGTTGGAAAGATACATGTGCATGGAGACATCCATCTCTCTGGTGTTGCTGTTACAGGTCACCTCCATGAAAATCCCCATGGCCTGGCCTTATGCTCAAATGTTCTTGTTAGAAATACGGCCCTGAAAATGCAAATACTCATTTTGAACTTTGCCTGTTAAATGTATGTAATGTGTCCTGCATTGCAGGACCCACTACTGTGAGAAGTCCAAAGTGGATGACTTTGACAAGTTACAGTGATTTTCACAGTAGATCCTTATTGAGATTTGCAGGATGAAGGAGCCTGTGTACTGGGTTTGCGTGGCAAGGTTTTGCTAGTGGGGGGCTACAGGAGTGGCTGCTGTGAGAAGCTGCTAGAAATTTTCCACATGTCTGATAGAGCCAATGCCAGCCGGCTGCAAGACGGACCTGCTGCTGGACAAGGCTGAGAGCATCAGAGATGGTGGTAGCACCTCTGAGATAACATATTTAAGAAGAGGGGAAAACTGCTGGGCAATAGTAGCAAGAATGAGATATGTGAGAGAAACAACTGCAGACACCAAAGTCAGTGGAGAAGGAGAGGGAGGGAGAGGGAGGAGGTGCTCCAGATGGCGGAGCAGAGATCCCCCTGCAGCCCGTGGTGAAGACCATGGTGAGGCAGGTTGTCCCTCTGCGGCCCATAGAGGTTAACGGTGCAGCAGATACCCACCTGCAGCCCGTGGAGGCCCCCACGCTGAAGCAAGTGGATGCCCAAAGGAGGCTGTGACCCCGTGGGAATTCCACACTGGAGCAGTCTCCTGGCAGGACCTGTGGATCCGTGGAGAGAGGAGCCCACGCTGCAGCCCACGCTGCAGTCCTATGCTGGTGGGACTTGTGACCCCATGGGGGTCCCGCACTGGAGCAGTCTGTTCCTGAAGGGCTGCACCCCATGGAAGGGACCCACACTGGAGCAGTTTGTGAACAACTGCAGCCCAAGGGAATGACCTACAGTGGAGAAGTTCATGGAGGACTGTCTCCCGTGGGAGGGACTGCACGCTGGTGCAGGGGAAGAGTGTGCGGAGTCCTCCCCTGAGGAGGAAGGAGCAGCAGAAACATGTGATGAACTGGCCATAACCCCCATTCCCTGTCCCCCTGCACTGCTTGGTAGGAGGAGGTAGAGAATTTGGGAATGAAGTTGAGCCCAGGAAGGAGGGAGGCACGGGGGGAAGGTGTTTTTAAAATTTGGGTTTATTTCTTATTACCCTTGTCTGATTTGATTGGTAATAAACAAAACTAATTTCCCCAAGTTGAGACTGTTTTGCCCATGATGGTAATTGCTGAGTGACCTCTCCCTGTCCTTATCTCGACCCACGAGCCTTTTGTTATATTTTCTCTCCCCTGTCCAGCTGAGGAGGGGATCAAGCTTTGGTGGGCACCTGGCATCCAGCCAGGGTCAGCCGAGCACAGCCTGTCACTCCATCCAACCACTGCATGTTTTGAGGGAGGGGGAAATAATGGGAATTTACTCAGTTATATGCTGCCAAGTAATTAGAAGCAGTTCTGAGGGCTGGAGATAGGTGCAGGAGAGGTCGTGTATTTTGGGGGTGAGCCTGAGCAGGTTGAAGGCAGAGACACCAGGAGTAGGGGCATTTCAGTCTCTGAGGATCAGCAGCAATGGATAAAATAGTAGAAAGTCAAAGTCATTTTCAGCAGCTGGCTCTGGACACTGGATGACCAGCTCTGAGGTTACTGGGGCTTTTGATGCCCCCACCAGTACTGGCTGGGGTGGCAGGCACTTGTATGTTACAAAATACATTCAAAACTAGAGGCTACACAGCACCCAGGCTCCAAGAGCCCACAGCAAAGCCAGGAAGCACAGCATGTAACTGAACTTGGTCATGAATAACTGCTATTTTCCTCCTTGTGTGTTGAGCTTCAGCATAGTCCACACCTTCTGTTGGCTCATAACTCCTGCAATCATTATGAATTTTGTCTCAGCCATGGGACTACTTGTGGGTTCTCAAGGGAAAACCTGTAGTCCTTCAGCTTCTCATCCCACTTTCTACCCCCAGGCTGCTCTAGCCCTGTGGAGCTGGGCTTGTGTGGTTTGACTGAAAGTCTGCACAGGCAGTTTATCCTTATGCACATTTGTCTGCTAAAGAAGATCATCCAGGCTGTTTTAAATAAAATCAAGCTCTTTTTTTCACCTAACAGGCCTCTTCTGCCAAGACTGCTTGATGTGAACAGTTTTCCCTGTGCTTTGATTTTGTATGATTTTCCTCATTTTAATTAAAATATATTTTAAAGTATATGCCCGTACTTTTTTTAAATACTTTTTTTTTTTTTTTTTCTAGGACAGAAACTTCTCTCTTTACTACTTACCCAGGTTTCTGTGTCTGCTGTGGGGTCTCATATCCCAAAGTTGTCAGACCACAGCTGATGGAGTATCAAAAATTGCTCATGACCATAATAGCTAAATGCGAAAAGAAATGCTCTTCCCCACTAACAATGTCGCTGAGAGCTCTCCTGGAAATTTTAGGGCTGTCTTTTTTTCTAGTACTGGTCAGGTTCTCCTTTAGAAGAAGAGTGAAGAATGACAATTCAAAACTGCAGATTTCTGATATTTGTATGCAGTCTGCTGCTCTGCCCGCCTCACATATGTTCTCCACACTGTCACAAATCTACACTCTGGCAGTTCAAATGCTTGTAAAGAGGTGGAGATATCGCCACACAGAGATTAATTTTTTTCAAAACACCTATCATTTGATGCAATCTTCTGCATCCCAAAGGCAAATAATAATAATAATATGAGCAATATATTCTCTCATAAAATACCTTTAGTGGTCTTTTTCACCTTCAGCATCTACAGGTTTTGTCCCTTTTGCCATTGCAGCATGTGCAGAATAAGTTTCTATTTGCCTTCTTTTTAGAGGCATTTAATGAGTCAAATGATTGCTAACTCAAAAGATCTTTTCATTTGTTACCATTAGCCTTACATATGATAAATAATAAGGAATTTTCTCATATGCGTTGTTCACAATCGCCTGTCTACGTGCTTTGATATCTACAGTTCCAGATTACGCCTCTGAAGAAGCCACCTAGAGGATTACAAATTATAGTCAAAGGTTTACAAATTATAGAAAACATTTTGTGCCATTTTCGTAACCTTTGTAATAAAACTTGGTCGGGGTTATTCTGGAGAAACATTTGCTGAATCATACTAGCCACCAGATTTTTACAGCACAAACATCTAGTGCAGAACTAATTAATAAACCTTATTTTTTCTTTTTCTCTGTCAACTCTGTGAGACAGATTGGGAGAGCCATTGCAAACAGAGGAATTAATCCGACGTTTCCGTGCCAACATTGTCATCAGTGCACCAGAGTCCTTTGAAGAAGAAGAGTGGGCTGAGATTTCAATAGGTGCTCTGCGATTCCAGGTGTGAACTCATCTCTCTTGTCCTAGTCCCAGCCTTTCACAAAGTATTTTAACCCCTGGAGACAAGCAATTTTTGCAAGGCTTTGACCGGAACATGGGTGGCACAGTTTGTGCAGATGAAATTTATGAAGTGTGTAAAAAAAAAAAAAACCCATGCTGTGACCTGTGGCAAACATGCTTCAATATAATTGAGAGGTTTTCTCCATATTTCTCCACACCTTTTTTTTTAAATTTCATAATTCATAGAATTTCCCACCTCTATCCAGCTGAGCAGAATAATAATCACTGTTTTGAGGCAGAGTTTGCAGCAAATACTTAGGCAGCATGTGACAAGAGAATACTGGTTGCTGTTAAGCTTAATAGTCCAAATGTAACCTCAGATTGCTGCACATCAAGCAACTGATTGCCTAAAGATTGGACATGAATACAAGTCAACAATCACTGTCTGTTGCCCTCTGTTGGATGCATTTTGTCTTAATCTCCGTTCAAGGCATGTTTCTAAGTCTAGCCTGACGGGGGTTTTTTCATATGTTGTGCTTCATATCGTATCTAACAACATAACGTGCTGTGTATTGTAAGGAAAATGCTGGAGAGTCAGACTTTGTTGGCAAATACATTATTTTGAGAAAAACTTCAACAAAGGATCCATGAAACCCAAGGGAATGATGCGCACATTACATGTTGTCTTGTCCTTAAATAAGAAATAAGGATTTGAAAATGTATTGTCTAGGATGTGAAAGTGGCTTATTCATTGTTTTCTTGGGGATGATAGTGAAGGTGTGAATAACAGAAGTGCTAAGGTCAAATCTAGAAGCTGTGATAGACATCCCTGCTATTTTTTTCTGGTCAGCATACTGTAAGAAATGGAGAGGTCATTTTTTCAGTAAGAGTGGAAAATACTACTTATCTGTTCTCTTCTTAGTGTACTTTGATCAGTAAGCTGTAATATGAGTTACAGAAAATTGAGGGAACATTTCTTTAGGTAGAGAATGAGGAACACAAAGGACAAAATCCTTGGTGTATAGCTTGTTGGAGGCTGGAGTTGCACTAGGGAGCTCAGCTCAGGATCCTGTTGTGGAAGATACTGCAAAACTACAAAATAAAATGGCATTCTTGTTTCTGACATTGAAATACCTTAGGAATGCAAGCTGAAAATAGAAAGGCTTATGCAACTTGCATTGTCTTTTCCAGTCTCTGCTAGGTCCCTATTCAGATGCTGATGTAGTAACAGTAGAAATTATGTTAATGGTGCTTGATGCCAGGAAATGGTAGAAGAAGCTGTTGAACAAAGCAAAGCAGGGAAAAATATTTCCTTCTCTGTCTTGTTTTCTTGTTCTTTTAATACAATATTAAAGCTGTGGAAATTCATCTTCTGAAAAAGCTGAGCCAAACGTATGGGTTTGATGATTACACTGAAGAGTTGTACAAACAGTTCTAGATGTTTCTCGAAAAAATGAAATAGCATTTCGGATCAGCATATAAAAATGTTTGCAGTGTAAGGTTTAATTATTTGCCCTATCTGAAATTTATGACACATTTTACAGAAGTAGAATGCATATATTGGGATACTGTACAAACAGTTAGTTTCTATAACGTACAGCTTTGCTGAAGTTAGGGATTCAGTATTAAGTGCAACTGCAATATGGCTTCTTTCTTCATTTTAATGCTCTCAGAAGAAATTTGTTTCAGGGTTTTTTTCCCTAAAAACACACCCTAGTTCAAACAAGAATTAACTTTAAGATCCATGCTCTCTGTATTACGTATGATGTTAGACTAGAGGATCCCATTATTCCTTCTGATTATGTAAACATGTGAAATTTCACATTTTGCATTCTGATTATCTACAAGTGCCACGCATATGAGAAAGATATTGTGCATTTCAGCTGCGTTGAGACAATATAAAACAAACCCAAGAAAATCCTCCTCGGGTTAAATCCTGACGCATTGGCTTAATTTTGTATTCAGTTCCCCTTTGGGCAAGCAGCCCTGCCAGCCCGTAGATGAAGTGAAGCCATCAGGAAATACAAATATGCAAATGGCTGGTATTTCTCAGATTCTGTCTCTGGGAAAGTTTTCCTTAAAAATAAAGAAAAGGAAAAAATGAATTAAAAATTCAGTGAGACCTTCACAAGTAGACCCTTTGAAAATGTACCAGATACATTAGGTGAACAGGCCTGACCTCTTACGTAATGGAAACATAAAAGAATACAGGAAAGGTATGTGAAAGAGATGTATGTGTTTGAGATATTATGATGGTCAGAAGCCTGTACTGTTCTGAGTTGTACTGCTTTGATATACTGCTGTGAACCTTCTTTAACTAAAATTTCAGGTTGTGGGTCCATGTAGCAGATGCCAAATAATTTGCATTGATCAACAGTCTGGGGAGCGAAACAAAGAAATTCTGCAGTCTCTGTCTACTGCCAGGGGTAAAAAGGTCAGTACAGTATTTCAAAATAGCTGTGTAGAAAGATGTAGTGACTTTACTGCATGCGCAGTGAAATATCTGCTGAGAGAATATGCACAATTAAGTTGTTATGCTAATCGTTACCATTTGTTTTTTCAGAAAAAGAGGATGCACTTACAACCCAGATATGACTTGGTTTATTTCCATAAAATGCTCAACACGTGTTTTATTCAGAAATTGACTATTAATATGCATTATTTTTTACTGCGCTTGCTTTTATTCAGTGTGTACTGCTTTACAATGTGTTTATTTTGGTCTTGAAAAACACGTGCTGATGCACTGATGTCATTCAAGAAAAGAAATCTGCAGAAAAATCTCAGTGTTTGAAATTATATAGTTAGCTCGTAAGACTAAACTTTATTCTTCCTGTGAGAAACTACATAGCAGAAAAAACAGAGCAGATGTGAATATAATCAAAGCAGACAGTAAGTGATTAAGAAAGTGACTGGAGAGGAAGTGTGAAACATAGGGATTCATTTGGAGTCCTTCTGCTTCCTAAGGTTGCATTGCTCCTTGGAACAGAGAGTGCCCAGACGATGGCTAGACAGTTCGGCATCCCAAAAGCTTCACAAATCTCCTCATAAGTGTTTATCTGGCTGAAAATCCTTACTCTTAGGTTCATTTCTTCCTGTTCGTTAACCTTCTGTTGTAAAAGTTTGTTAGCCAGTCAGGGCTCGGAAGCCTCGCCAATACCAGCCAAACCCCAGAGCCTGGGCACAGCGCAGGAGCAGAGCAAGAACAAATAGGCTGAAAATCATTCACCCAAACAGCGCACAAACAAGTTACAAATAACGCATGCTTTGTTCGTACCAAAAAATAATAAATTGATTCGTCTCAGTGACTCATTAAGCAAACAACAGGCTACATTTTCAGTGAGTGTTATCCTTGGTGAATAGCTCTGCCGGCTCCATCCCAGAGCCAGCCTCCTGGTGCAGAGTGAGAAGGGGGAGAGGCGAGCAGGCCCGGGCTGGCTGTCTAGGCACAGCTTCCCGCTGACCTGACGTGACTTGGGGTTGCACAGCAGGCTCTGGCATCCAGATCTCTACAGCACATGTGCCTTTGTCCGATGAGCTCCTGGCCATGGTGGGTAGCCTGAGGACAGGAGCCCTTTCAAGGTAACGGTGAGCTGCAGCTGGAACATCTGGGGCACTTTAGAGCACATTCTGGCGCTCTGGGCAGGGATGCTGCCCAGCTGCCACATGGGGTGCGGTGTGCAGAGGACTTTCTCTACCCATGTGGGTTTTGGTGGATTATGACTTGAATCCTCTGTAGAGGGAGAGCGCTCTGTATTCAGGGACCTTCTCAAACAGCAACAAAACCTTACCCGGAACACAGATTCTCAGGAGAGGCAAAGCTTCTTCAGCACGTTTCCCGCAGCAAAGATGAGCTTCTCTTTCATTCTGATTAACTCAGCGATGCAAAGATTTTCTTGATACAAGCGCTCCTAGAACGAAGCAACTCGTTCAAACAGAACTAAGGCAAGGAGAGCAATCCTGCCTCTTGAGAACAACCTGGCTCCAGATAACAAGACGCATGGCAAGGCGAGGCGCTGCAGAGCACAGCGCTGCTCTTCACAGCGGGGGAGAGTGCTCTGCTTCCCTCAGTTGCTGCAAAGAATCAGGCCTCCAGCTTTTTTTATTTTTCCCAGCCTTCCGCGCTGCTGGCAGATGCGATCTTGTGAGCATGCCTTGCTCTGCATAAGGCCAAGTCCTCTGGGTTAGCCTGACGGCTGAAAGAGATCTTTTGAATGGGTAGTTTTGCTTGAACTGGTCTGAGAAGACCTCAGAGCCCATCCCTCCTGTAAGTAATCTGCGGGGTGATGGCCACCAGCTGGTTATCGGTGAGTAGCACCCGAGGGCTATGGCATCTTCAGTGTGCTAAGCAGACCTAGCAGAGAACATCGATCCAAACCTTTCACAGTTCACAGCGGGGAGAGAGAAAGAACATCCAGTTCATGTGACTGTGTTAAATCGCAGAGCTAATCCTTTGGTGACTCATGTCTCTAGCATGTGCTTTTCTGTGAAGGAGTCATCTAATAGACTTCATTTTCTTTTTTTATCAGATACAGATTCAGTGAAGGAACTTAGCAGTGTTTGTTCCCAGCTGTCAGTAATGCGATTCAAACTACAAAAGCCAAATGCAAGAAAATAAGATTTAAGCTAATTTCCCAGTACAAGGGCAACTGATATTTTTGAAAGGCTGTTGTAGTTGCTCGATTTCCAAAACATTAAAGATACTGTGTATATGAATGGATAGCAAATCCTGGATGCTTAGCAAGAGAGCGAGATGTCAACATTTACCATTTTGTTTTGGTTTTCCGAGAACACCAACCTGGAAAAATATATCAAACTTTATCAAACCGGTAGCCCAAATGACAGCACTGCCAATGAACTTCAATAATGAGCTAAATAAAGTAAGGCTTGTAAGAGCTGGTTCAAAATTTATTTCTGAAATCATATTTGTCTCCATTCCTCTGAAACTCTGAGAACCGGGTGCTCCAAGTTGAAAGACTGAGGCTTTGCATAGGTGGATTGCAGCTGAAAGTCAGAACCAGCTCCTGTAATTAGCCACACAAGCAATTTGCATGTTTCCTGATAAATGTAAAGCAGGGTGCTGAAGCGCAGCCAGCTACTTTTTATGAAACTTTTTATCACATTTGAAATAAAATGCAAACACCTCCACAAAGCGAAGTCAAGCTCTGCTGCCATCAGTTCTGAAGAACCACTCATTAAGGATTCCTTCTGTAATTTTTGACTGAAAAGGAAAAATGAGCTCGCCTCCTGTGACAGAGCTCTCTCTGTTACTGCAGGAGACTATGAAAGACTAGACAACTACATTAAGCAAATAGCATAAAAACAGCCACACGCTGTTTCACGTGCATCGCCACCTGATGCAAAACACACATAGACAGAAAGGAGAGAACATCGAATTCTTGCCCATCTTCTGTGTTTTGCAGATGCAGTTTAACACTAATAATAGCAGAAGCCCTGTGGGCAGATTTGCAGCAGTGCTATAAGCTGGGACTTGCTGTCAAGGTAGCAAAGGGAATTGCATTAGCAGTCTGCCCCAGCGTAAATGTACGGATAGCGGTACATCAAGGGAAATCCATTATGTTTGCACATGCCCTCATACACTAAAAGGCTTGTGTTTTTTCCTGCGGGCTGTTGATCCTCCTTTATGTATCTCATTGTGCCTTGGGAGAGCTTCTTCCCCTGCAGAATTAGACTCTGTGTCTTTGTATTGCTTACTGAAACGTTAGCAAGGATAGCAAATGACTTCTCTTATCTGATGCATCATTATCATCATTTTCGTAGTAATGCAGAGCTTTACACTATGCAATGCCTTTCATCCGAAGATCTGGAACATTTGCAAACAGTGATTGATGTAATTAATAGGCCTCTGAAATAACATAGTTCTCTTTTCTTATTGGTGGCTGCGCTGGAAAATGCATTTATTTAAGGCAGAGCAAAGGAAAAGCAGTTCTTAGCAAAACGTTCTGCTGTCCAGATGTTTTCAACAGAACAAGATGGGGCTTTTTGACACCAAGTTAAAATTTTCCCTTTTTTCCAATATGAAAAACCAGCATGTTGAAAGTGAGTACTTCCACTCTCCTGTTTTGTAAGGCTTTACTAATAAGTTTTGGTGAATCCAGAGCTAATAAAACATCATTAAGTTAAAAAAAAAAAATCTACTTTAATAATTACATCTCCCAAACCTTCGCATGAGAGTGAGGTTATGAATAAAATGAGCAGACGTGAGCAGGTAAAGTTATCTATTGGGAGAAGGCAGCTGAGAGCTACATCCAGGGGCAAAAGCCAGAACTCATCCATCCAAAGCTAAGTCTTAGCATGCAGTATCACTTATGTGCTTGTTACACATTCCAGCAGGGCATTTTTCCTATTGAGTGCTAGTCTGAATCAACTGATTGTTTAGGAGCTGTAGCTTGAAGGCATCTCATCTCAGCCTTTGTCAGATGTAGCACCTCAGGTTTCTGTCTTACAAAGGGAGATACTGCACCCAGGATATTTCTCTGTCAGTGGATATCTGAGCAGTGCACATTAGTGTTGATCCAGTAAATGTACTTGAAACAACATGCAAGAATGACAGCATTTCATAGCTCCTCCTTTAAGTGAGTGTGATGACTATCATATGATTCACTGTTGGCAAGGATAAGTACGTTTTATCTGTTTCTCCAAGCAGTGAAGTGTTGTGCTTTTTACTAATCAAGAAGCTTTACATTTTTTGTCCCTGTGAAGTTTAAGAGTGATGGGAAGAGCCCCTACTGCCATCAGAAGACTGAGCAGATAAAGCCACAGAACTCACAGTCCGGCACTCCCCTGCCTAGTTCTTGGTGTGTTCTGGGGAGGTTATACACAGAATAAAATGCCCTTGAAGTCACAAAAATGTAGCAACAGCAGAGAGAGATTATGCAGTTCTTTGTAATAACTCTGCAGGCTGTAATCTCTGTGTCTGAAAGCCTCATTTTTCAACAGTGAAATGTGTAGAAAGGGCTAATTTCTACATTTTATCTTTCTCTTGAACCAGAGCTGAAATGGCAGGATGCACAGCTTTTGTGGTTGCTTGGGGGGCGGAGGTTGCTATTGTCAGTATTTGCTGAGCCGACATTAGCAATTATTGAAAAAACAAGGAACTTTACTTAAAAGATTTAAAATCCACTTCTGGTAGTCACAAGCTAAATTTTGGTCTTAGAAACATTCACGAAAGAGAGAGATCAGCAGTTCTAAGCAGATATTAGTACTAAAACTTGTATACCATCACTGTGAAAACTCCTCAGGCATCACCCTGTTTCAAGCACTGAAAAAAGTACTACGAGACTTTAGATGCCTAATCAGGGTAGGGAAATACTAAGGACCGGTACTAAAATAGTATTTGAGAACTCCTGAAGATAAGATGTCTTCATGTATGCCTTTTCTTAAATAATTCTGAAAGTTTTAAAGTGCTTTAAGAAAAAAAAAAATCTTGCTAAATGATTCACGGTAATAGAAAAGTCAGTAAATAAAATTCTCCACAGTGAACAATCTGCCCAGATTTATTTTGGTCTCATTTCAAGATATCAATACAGTAAATATAAATAGAAACTCCTCATGTATCAAATAAGTTCATTTACACGGCTGAGTTATAAAACTCCTTCCTGTGTGAAATGTGGTGTCGCATGGACTAATACTCATTTTACAATATTTGTTTTATGATTACCTGATTTTTTTAAAACAATAAAATTATGGCAACTGTCATTTTTGCACTAGGGCATTGGAAGTAAATCCAGGTTATTAAATACCAGGCTGAAAAACATATAATTTATGCCAATAGAGAAACCACAGCTTGTCAACAAATAAAAGAAAAGTAAAAGTGGAAAAGTAATACTTTGTACTTCAGTATTTTAAATGAAACTGACCATTTTAGCATCATGGTTGATCCAACACAGTCACTATGCTAGAGAGGATTGGGATCTTACTGTGCTGCAGCCATTCATTCCTCAGCATTAAATACTAGGACACTGACCCTGTGTCCACCAGCGCTGACACCGTTATGGTCACAGGTATCCAAAAGGCGTCATTAATGGGACAGGCCTGATAGGTCCAACTCATACCCCGGTATGTGAAATGCCAGTGAGATGAAGGAATAGCGTAAGTAGCCAAAAAACCTCTGCTTGGGACCTAATTTTGTTTTTAGTGTTTAGGATTACACATGAAACAGAAAGACCCAAATCCAGAGTCTGAGGCCATGTTTGGATAGCTCTCTGCTTTACAGCACCTCCCTTACCTGGGAGCTGGCCTCAGCCCCACCTCTCACTAATTCTTCAAAGAATAAAAGCTGTTTCGTGTTACCGCATTACTGTGTCTTTATTTAATTGTACAGTGCAAGAACAGGAGAAAGCACACTGCCTTCATATTTAGTCTGTGAAATATGCTTCCTTAAATTCAGCTAATGCTATTCTTTTAATTTATTGCAATTCCTTTTACCTAGTATATTTTTCTAAACCTGCTGTAAATGTAATTCCCTCAGTTTCAGGATCATTGATCTGAATAATGGCAGCAAAACTAATCAGGAAATGGAAAAGGAGAATAGAGTTTTGTTTTCAATGAATTTAATTTGTTTATCTATTTACTTTTTACTTCAGAGTGACTGGTGCACTTTGGCTGTAGCCTACCAAAACAAGTAAAATACTTTTTATTGACATCTATAAAAAAAAGACAAGAAAATTAATATCAGGTTCCCAAGATCCTCAGTTTTAAGAACAAAGACATTCTGAAGTCTACAAAACAATTATCAATTTAACATGGCCTTCAGCATTACTTTAGTTCTTACTTTACATATTTCTTTAATTAACTATTATCTAATCATTTGGAAAATACTATCATGACATTTCAAGTCTGTTCCTTGAGCATTTCTAAGTTTTCCACTGCTGGAAAACAAAACCACAAAACCACACCAGCCTCTTACTGTGACATTTCCAGATCACAGCCAGCTCTTCACAGCTCCAACTGTAATGTTCAATGTGCTTAAGATCAAGACCACACATAAGAGTGCGGACACTCCGATCAGGTTTTCGGTGCCTGCGAGGGTTGTGTGGTCAGTGGGTGAAGGGGTTATTCTGCTCCTCTTTATTTTTCAGTATCACAAGGACATATCTAAGTATTTCTAATATTTAAGCAGGATGGCTTCACAGATGATGACAGGTAACAAGTGTTAGTCCTAATAAAACAAACTTTCTGAGTATTTTCTGTAAAATATACTAAAATATTCATAAAAACAAATGAAGGGAAATTCATAAAGGCTAGACAGAACAAAGTTCTGTTAACACAGCAGATAATTCATGGTAGAAGATGCCTTCTCGTGCTGCCTAGCCTTTATTTGTGATAATGGATTAACTGTATTTGTCAAGAAGCCAGAACTGTCATTAAATGACAAGACCATGAGGGAGTGTAAATTACATATATGATACTGTGGGACTCATGATGAAATACTTATTTATCCACTTACTTAAGGTATTCTTCTTGAATAGCACAGGGCTAGCTTTTTGTTTACCAGTCTATTATAGTTAATTAGTTTAAAATGTTGTTAATTACATGGAGATGGGACATACCTCCTTATTCTTAAAGCAATATTGCTTTTCTAAACATATCTGGGTTGTGAGATCCTCTATAGATCTGATTGCTTTAACATGAGTTGCATCTCAATAAATATTTTGCTTTTTTCAGACAAACTTTGGCATATACCTGATGAACCAGCCCTTGCACTCATCCTTTCCAGATATTTTGTCGGTTGGGTCTCAAGTACTTCCAGTGCTGAAGGAGAATACAGAAATTCAGCCCCCAACATCCAGTGAAGAAAAATGTTCGGGGTAGATTCTCTGGTGGAGAGGAGATTTATATGCAACTCCAGGGAAAAGTCAGTAGCCAGTTATTCAGAAAAAAAAAAAAAAAAGAAAAAAAAAAGAAAAAGCTTCCACTCATTTTCTTTCTGGTTTAAGTCTTTTAATGTTCTGTTTGCTGTATGTGTAATCAGATGGCAGAACCCTTGATAATTACAGCTCACCTACATGTTTTCGCTTGTGATTAGGTTACAGCAGCCATAACTCTATTTTGCTCAATTGCTTCAGGATGCAACAGGTTTGATCAAGTTTTACTGGTGGATGACTCCCAAAACAAGCCCAGCATCATTGTCAGGAACCCACATCTCAATGAAGGAAAGAAAGCACAACAATACACTACTTCCTTATGTTGCTTTGTTAAAACCACACATGGGAGAGAGGATGCCGGACGTATTTTAGACACAGTGTGGGTGGGAAGGGAACAGTGGGAGCGTGGCATGAGAGTAGCAGTCCATTCAGCTTTTCAAAAATGGAACTGAAGGTGATGTGATGTGCAGACAGTCTGAAAGCACTGGAGAAGAAGGAACTGTTAGTGGGAAATCTGTGTCTCCCTTTTTGGAAGTGGTGTGTGAGGATGCCAAAAAGGCACAAGGATCGATGAAGTTGCAGTATGCTGTTGGCAAAACACATTCCCTGTGAAGCAATTTCATCCATTTGTTCTCGACTTCTTTCTCTCATTCCTTTTTGCTGCCTTTCCATCTGATTTATTTTATGTGATGACTTCCCACACACGTGTTTCCTTACTTATTTGTGGATATTGACACATTTTTTCTAATTAGAGATTTTTCGACTAATACAGTCATGGGTTTTTTACAAGTTTGTTTATCCTCAGCGGTCTCTAATGGTTGCTTAAAGGGAACTCCTGAAAGTTTGGATGCTTCTCCATCCCAAACAGGTCAAAGCATCCTTTTTTCTTATTCCTTGTGCATTTGATAATGTCCTTAGAACACTTTTGAGTTCTTTACTCTCCTAAATATCATAGAATCACAGAATACCAGGTTGGAAGGGACCTCAAGGATCATCTGGTCCAACCTTTCTTGTCAAAAGCACAGTCTAGACAAGACGGCCCAGCACCCTGTCCAGCTGAATCTTAAAGGTGTCCAGTGTTGGGGAATATGACTCATGATTTTTGATTTCTGCTAGCAAATGTGTGAAACCTAGGACTTGGTCTGAAATATCATTTATTGTGAAAATTGAAAAATAAATACAGCCAGCCACACAGCAAAAAAAACACATGGAAAGTCAATGTAATGCAAGAGCGAACGCATTGAGGCCAGATGTTTTATGACCCCCAACATGTGTCTGGCCATCCACAGGGCAATTTCATGCTTCCAGGAAGTCCTTTTGGAAGAGGAAATTCTCCTAGATTGGCTGCTCTATTGCCATTTGGGAAGTGAAATTTTGACCCCGTTAAAAGCACGGGCAGAACTCTCATCCAGCATGATTTAGGTCTTCCTTGGGGCAATTTTGGCTCAAACTGTGTGAAAGTGCTTCTGACTGAAGCAATCCTTGAGTTGTTGGAGCATATCCCTGGAGGGGAGCAGGCGGCTTTGTGAAAGAATTGGTCAAACAGTCGTTCTCAAAGGGGAGCGACTACCCCAGAGCGGTGTACAATGGGAAAAGGGAAGCGCATCGCCTAGTGTGCAAATCAGAATTCAAAGATGGTCTTTTTTCATTCTCTTCGTGGTTTTTTTTTTTTTCCAACTGGTTTCTTTTTTTTTTTTTTTTTTTTTTTGTTCTTTTGAAGAACTGGTTTTACTCACCTCAGCTGGAACAGACTCTTAATAGTCTCTCAGCAGAGCTTTGTAATGGAAATGAGAAGAGGCATTATCTGTTTCTTACAACCTGCCATAAAATACATGGAAAGAGAGAGGTGTTTCATATGTATGTAAACTGAGCATCAGTTTTGAGAGTTGTACCTCTCACTTCAGAGCCCAAGCACTGCTCCTTGATGTCTGCTTTGAAAAGCAGGGGTTTTATCTGTCTAATAGTCAATTATCTGATGTTGTAATGAGCAGGCTTTTTGGAACCTTGAAAAGCAGTTTCCTGGTATCTGAATCTCTTAACTGTCTCACTCTGCCTTTCTGTTATGCAGAGCATTGTTTTCTGGATAGAAAGCCAGCACAGCTCTGGCAAATTTAATATGAAGAGACCTGCTGTATGCTGACCTTCAGGTGATCTCTGGTGCTTTGCTGTGTCCTCTTCACCTCACCAGTACGTCATTTGTTTAAAATGGCACAGAAGTTAGAAAAGGAAATTGCAAGCAAACCTCAGCAAGCTCTGTTTCACTTGTTATTGGATTTGCTACAAAATAAGTCACTTTCGTACACAGTAGCTTGACAAATACTGTTTGTGAATAGCCTTAATGCAATCTATGATAACTAAGGATGAGAGGATTTGAACTTTAAAAATGTCATGCTTGGTCATTTTGACCTATTATTTACAGGCAATTACACTTTCTCTCTGCTGTGGCTTAGTAATATTAGGTCAAGAATAATTTTGTCATTTTACCAGAGGAAAAAAAGATTTTCTCTGATGTATGAACAGACTCATTAGTATATTCAGTGCATTTCCCAGAAGGAACATCCTTGTGCTACAGTGATAGGAAATGTCACAACGCTTCAGATTGATGGAAGAGACATAAGGAATCTTTCATCTCAACAAAGGGTATTTCCCTTCTAGTAAGTGGAGTGTTCCCGCCAGTATTGATATGTCTTCCCATCAATGAAGACAAATTCTTCTCAGTGCCAATACTCTGTGGAAAATCTTGAATTAGGAAGAATCACTTTTAAATGACACGCCGTGTCAGTTTGTAGAAAGAACATCCCTCCTATAATGTGAAAAAAAAAATCAAAAAATGAAGAAACTTACCATAATGCAAACCGGGTACTGCAGGAATGAAAAGGGCTTAAACACTTTGAAACACTGTATGTATTTCATAGAAAGATTATGTGTTCTATAATGGTTGACTTCTCAATCTTCAGAGGATATAGAAAAACGACCCTTTCCTATGAATGCAGGCTCTTTCATCAAAGTAGTCCCATTGCTGCAAAATTAAACCTTGGTCTAATTGCAGATGCATGTTTACCTTATATGGATAAGAAATGTACTTAATGCAGTATTTCCAGAGTGCTGTATGTAGAAAGTCCTCTACGTATTTGAAAACTAAGTCCATATTTCCTTACAATGAATTATTCAGGCTCATTCCATTTTCTGTGGAACTGAACTCCTTCTCAAATCTCAAGGCAAAAATGGTGATTATTGCAAGATCTAAGAATAGCCAGGAGGCTGAAATCACAGAAATCTGCATTTTTTAGGAGAAGCCTCTGTGTTCTCTGATATGACTAAGATATTTCAGATACAGTTTGTGATTTATATACTTTCAATGGCATCCTTCAAAATACGGTCAAAATTTTAGGTCACCCTTCTGTCAAAATTATACACAAATCAAAAGGAAGGGCTGTATAAAAAACGTGATTGTTGTTCATAAATTGTAAAGATTATGCTATGAGTTTCTTCTTCAGTCTTGTTTTCAACTTTCTTGGAAATGAAACCAATAAAATATATATTGTGTCTACTGGTGGTGATTGCGTTCTTGACCTTTGAGCTCATGAGATGCTGTTCTGCCTGGAGGCACTGCCGGGCTCAGAGGGCGAGTACGTGGCTCAGGACTGAGGGGATGTCTCATCACTGCTGGGATTCCCAGGTGAGGTGTCCATCCAGCTATTGTGCTGATGGCCTCTGTCTGTCTAGTCAGCGTGCCAACCGGTTGCACACTCAGCTCAGGCCCTGCACAGAATGCACTAATGATCACTGGTTTCCTTTAAAATACATCCAGAGGCGGTCCTGTTGGAGTCATCTCTGTTATCCAGAGGTTGGAGCTCTCACCAAGGGTGTTGGAGAAGAGAAGGTTCATTTCCCTCTCCCTTGCCTGGAGGGATCCAGCACCATCTTTCTCCGCTGCCTAACCCATCAGTCAGTAGGCGAGACTGGGGACTTAACAAGACTGGGTGTGTGTGGGAATTACAGGGAAGGCTTATCCCTCCCTTCTCATGAGATTCACATGGAAATGATCTGTGATTCACTGGGCCAGAGAGAGAGGGACATGGGCACAGTGAGGCAGGATACACACGTGACTCCGAGGTACTCATGCTCTTTTGGATTTGCTGAGGATAGGAGGGGAAGAACAGCATGACTCTGTAACCCAACAGGTAGGTCACTCCTATGGAGGTGAAAGATGTGGGTATGTCCCTGTCTCTCTGATTACACATCTGTCATGAGGCAGCTACTTGGACAAAACATAGACACAGCCCTCAGAGAAGGGAGGAGAAAGCCGAGTGCTCCTCTCCGCTGGGCATGTGAGGCAGTGGGTTACAGAGGTTTGTCTCCTTCCTCTGGCCGCCAGCATTTAAGTACAAGGTGGAAGTTCAGCAAGAATAGAGGAGAACACCCCAAGCGTGTTTTGGAATAGGCCATTAGTGAAAACACAAGTTTGAATCCTCAAAAGCAGAAATGGAAATGAACCCACGTTTCTGACTTCTTGCTAGATGCACCAGCCCCAAGGCCAGAGTGAAAAGGAAAAAATGTGGGAGGGAAAGAAAAGTGGCATCTCCTACAGCCAAAGTTTAAAAGAAAGTAGTGCCTTCGCCACCCAGTTTGTAATTTTTTTCAGGAAAGAAAGGACGTAGGTCTCTTCAGACCCACAAATCAGATTCAGAGAACTCAAGAGTAAGTCAGAGAGGTGTCTCTTAAGCAAGGTGCTATTTAAGAGGTCTCTCCTCCCTCCCTTTTGTGTCAACTAGCTTACTTTGCTGCTCACTCAGTGTGATGAAAGTTGTGGCTCCCTTCCAATGGAAAAGAAAACAGGCGGGTGCCCTGCATAAGGGGCAAAGTGACTCACGTGGGACTGCGGCCAGGGAGAGACGTTAGGGAGGTTTGACATGGGGCATCCTTGAGCATCACTGTCCTAAGCCA